GGTGGCGTCGTCGTCGTCGTCGTCGTCGTCGTCGTCGTCGTCGTCGTCGCCGTTGTCATCGCGCTTGATTCGTTTCCGCTCATTATAACGCGACGATAACGATTTCTCGCCTCGTCGACGATCGGTGTTGACGATCGTTAACCGCTCCGACGAACTGTGAACCCTCTTTCCGCTTTACCCTCATATCCCTCTTCCCCAAATGCAGCACCGGAAATCGCGCCGTGATCTTTCTGGCTGGAAAACAGACGACTTGACCACTACGTTAGATTCGACTTGATCCAAATCTGAATCTTTTTCAATTTGCATACACTCGAAGCAACTGAAATACAGATATTATTTGCACAATTATTTTCTAACTTTGACGTGAAATATTTGTGTATTTTTTCTAGAAAAATCGGAGAAAAAAGCCCGTTATAAATGAAAATAGGAGGAGAAACAATATTTTTTATAATCTTTCGCAAACAATTTTACTTTTAGATTTATTTTTTTGTGTCATTTTAAATGCTACAGTATCTTTTGTTCCTTTCAACTCTTTCAAAATTTACGATCCCTGTTTGACTCAAGATTCAAAATGTAATTTCCGAACGTGTTGACGATTTAAACGTTATAGATATCCTTGACTTCCTTGAACTCCGAGATCTTTGAACTTTCTCCGTTGGAATTCTTTGACTAGAATACACAGACAAGGAAGAATACGCGATAGAATTTGTTTGCGATTTATTAGCCGCGGGAGAGATCGCGAGTAGTTCGTCCGAGTGTATTCCCGAGAAATACTGAGATAGAGAAAGAAAAAGAGAGCGAGAGAGAGACATACTGTCAGCATCCTGCGATAAGAGTGCTCCTTAACGAGAGTGTGTACTTGAAGCGAGCGTTAAATATTGCCGGGAACCCGTGGATTTACATGACACAGCGCGGCGAAAAGTCTTTTGTAGATAAGAGTTACGTGTTTGTGTGTAATTGGATAAAGATCGGCTCGAGTTCGTCATCGTTCTTTCTTTTCTTCCCGTCCTGCCATTACCCTTCTATTCTCTTTCCTTCAAATTCCGTGAGAGGCAAAGATTTTATTGCCGTCGTATTTCTTTCAGTAGATAGACCGAATGCATACGATCCGGTGCATACGATGCAATCTCGATGATTTTCTTGGACAAATCATTGCAAAGGAATCCCAAGTAGTAGAAGAAGAGTTCCCGAGTAATACAGAAAGAAGTTAAAGATAAATCGGTTTACTAAACCCATTGCAAACGCCACATCTAAACAAGTTGTACAAAGTTCTCAAGAAAATTAACACACTTCCCGAATAGTATAATATTACACGTCATTTAAGTGTATGAATGATGTTACATAATTTCATTTTATTATATGTATTAATTTTGCAATATTTTCGGCTATAATAGAAGTTAACAAAACGAAAAAACAGTGAACAGTACAAAAAAAAAACAAATACTTATGTATACAATTAACTCTTGTTTGCTATTTATTATATTTAAAACAGAAATAACAAAGAGAGAAAAAGCTATCGTGTAATCGTCAAGTGGACTTCTAATCAAGATAATCTCTATCGCCATTCATAGAATGCTTTAAACAGTGTGCGTCCTTGGGAAATTGTTTCAAAACTATAGAAAGTATCGCAATCGAGAAAACCGGAAACCATTTACGTTCACCGATAAAGATCGGAATAAAAAAAAAGAATATGATTCATTGTGTGTTGCTCATAGATCACATTATTCTATTTTTCCGCGGTTCTCTCAAAACTGTTTCATGCAATAAGTTTCTTTGATTTTTTCTTTTATGATTGTTAATTGATATCTCTTGCCGATATCGAATGGAGCAACGAAGCGTGGAATATTGATCGGATATCGATTTTTCGATATCGCTGTTCTCGGCAATGAACCGCGCCGCGGAAAAATACAGTTACGCGATTTTAATTCATATACACTTACGTACACAAAATACATCATGCTTGCACTCTCTCTATAGCACCTTCCGTATTACTGCATAATGCATTTTTGACTACACGTGATCACTTTCACTTTATGTAATATCTCCTTTTATGGCGCGAACAAAAGACAGCTTCAAACTTATTACTGAAAAAAATTGTTTTTTGGAGCATTTGAAGGAGATTTAATCGTCTTTAGAGACTACACTTTTTTCAGAATATAAATCTTAAAAAAAGCATTCCAACGACTCCATCGACAATTATCAGATTCTAGAAAATATTTAAACTTCGGGAGATTAAATGTAGATTATGATAGGAAAATTGAGATAAAGAATATGAGTTTTCTGAATATTTATGAAAAGTTCAAAACCTGGAAAATTACAAAATATCAGACTTTACTACCTGTCCCAGCATGGTTCTTGCGAGAAATTCACGATATAAAAAACAGCAACGTGCGCAAGCAAAACGACCATGGAGAGGAATAAAATGCGACAAAGATATGAAGAGAGAGAGAGAGAGAGAGAGAGAAAGAGAGAAACAGCTGTCATATCCAGAGAAACTGCGGTGATGAGAAAGAGAGAGAGATAGGCAAGACGCACACGTAAACAGACACGATTATTATACCGTGTGCACGCGCAAGAAAAGAGATAAGACAGCACGACAGAATTGTGCGCGAAAAAAAGACGGATGACGCTAGACGCGATAGAAGAGGACAGAGAAAAGGCTGCATCTTACTCGGCGAGTATTCCGAGTGCGGCGGCGCAGCGGAATATCTACCTGTCAGCGTGCATTCCACGATCCCACGGCGTGTTGGCGTCTCCGCGTGCGTCTCCCGTTCGCCAATGTACTTCCCCCGTCGCACTTACGCGTCACCACATCGCGGACTCCGCACGCAAACTTATCGCATTTATTCGCTGTTCCTTGTTGTACGTCCGTTTTTCGGGACGGACATTAAACCGGTGACGTGCCGCGATGCGCGAACATGGCGCACTCACTCACAGTCGATCCACAGGTTCAGTCGCATGCGTTCGGAAACGTGAACCATGTGGTGAACGTGGCGCGAAAATCCGTCGCTCTGAGAGGTCGTTGCGATAACGCTCCTTCGTGTCCCGAGTTCGCTCGAGTTCCGTTTTGTCTTGCGAATCTGAAAAAAACTCGGCACGACGCGACTCGTAACTTCTTTCTTTGAGAATCGCGCAGCGTCCAGCAACTCGACTCGACTTTAAGCACCGCGGGGTAAATACTACAACGAAGCGCGCCGCTTTCGCCTGCGGTGTGTACGGCGACTGTACCAACCAATCCCCACCTGGACCGCTCTACCACGTGATAAGAACGTCGGCCAATCGTGCGACATCGATCACGCGGAGGAACCGTTCTATGTTCTATATGTTCCATTTCTGCAATTTCATTACTTATTGTAGTACAATCTTTTTCGCGAAAAAAAGACGAGTTAGAAAGTAATATATTGTAAATAATGTAAATGGCAGATTTTTGCTATTTTTACCTTTAAAGTACAATTATTCTTAAAATAATATTCTTAGTATATAAGTCGCTCACAAGCGTTCTAGACAAAGCTTGACACAAGTACCAGATCAATCGATTACTTGTCAACAAACTACATTCCGCAGTAAAATAGACAATGATAGCTTTAAAAGTGCTCTAGTAGAGAAAACTTGACCTTGCGTTTAATCTGACGTTCGCACGCATTCAGTGAACTTGAAAAAAAGAAACTAATTTCAGATCCGTTACATACTCGTGCCATTCACCCGGATTTTCGTAATCATCCGAGTGAAATTTTAAATCATCGATGGATCGATCATCGTGTACACGCGCGTGTTGTGTTATCGGTATATTTTTCTATCTCTGCTTTCAGATACATACATATATTTGTGTGTAGAGAGAGAGCATATATGTAACATATTTTCCACATAATTCATTAAATAATAATTGATAGACGAAGTTTCCTTGACGTTGCACAATTGATAGTTTATTTATTAGAAGATTTTTTGCACATTTTTCTCATATATTTCAGATTGTTAGATAAGTAAGAAAGTCAGAATATTTGCGCCAAGTATTGTAGCAAAGAGCATTTCTCGATGTTCTTCACTATCTTGAGAAGCATTGTTTCTCACTTCGGTTTCTGAAAGTTGAAACTCACAATAATAATGTAAGCTTTATAAAAACTGATAAAATTTGTAACAGTAAACTAAATGAGTTTGTTAAAATTTAATACAATAACTCATTTCTCTCACATTTAATTTATGCGTATTTCGAAACAATGTTTTAATTGTTTTATTGTTTCGTGCATCTTTAAAAATAGAAAAAAAAGGATGATGTGACTTGTTGCTCTTTTCTTCTCATGGGGTTCTCACCGTATTCGTAATATTGCGACAGATCTGTCGATTCGTCCTCACATTCCTCTGTGACCGATCTTATCCTTACTACTTCCTGTCTCTCGTATTTATCGGTGGTCTTACCTCTGAACGGCATATACAAGCCAGATCTCACGCGATTCTTCAATCCATTACTAGCGACGACAACCTGAAAAATGTGGCAAAAGTTTTGTCCTTAAACACTAACCATAATCGTAGACTTCGCTGGTTTTCTCGTTCACCATTTCTTCTTCATTTCCAGCTTCATCCTCTGCGGTTTCTTCATCGATGTTCTTGTCGTCGATCTCTCTATTGTTCTCTTCTTCTTCTTCCTCGTCATTTTCATCCCTATCCTCATCATTCTCCACAACTGAGCGATAAAATTTGTTTTCGTCTAGTTTATTTCGAGGTTGATAACGCGTTTTTCGAATGGCATTATAGTCGTTGTACGCCTGTTTGATCCCGCGTGGATTCTCGAGAAGACGACGTCGGACCGGCTGCACTAAATTTCCGTAAAAAGCGGATTCTATGTATAAAGTATGACCGTGAATACTTTTGACAATCATAGTTGACGCAGGCGGTTGTGAGGAGATCCAATAGGATTTATCGCCGACAATATGAAGGCGCGAAAAAACTAAAATTATTGATAAAAGAATGAACATAAACATAGTTTGAGATCTGTCATTATCAATTGGTAACGATGCGATTGAATCTAAGCGCGATTAAATCAATCGCGCAAAATTGTACGCATCAAATAACGAGCCACTTGAAGTAGTTTTACATCAGTCAAGTTCGATATAGAATGCATTCGTATTGAGCGCTTACGCATTTTAAGCGTCAATTTATTTTTATTACTATTTAAATGTAAAACAAAAATAGACTGACGCTCAAAGTGCATGAGCGCCCAAAGCGAACGCATCTATGATAATAATAAAATGTTATGTGTATAACTGTTATTTAGTGACCACACAATTGTTTAATATAAAAGTATTATATGTACATAAATATATAAACAAGTTTTACATAGAAAAACTGTTATATTTTATAATCAATGTATAAAATACATAAAACTTTAAATACACGCATAATGTGTAACTCCGATGCACTTAACACAGATTTTACTTTTAAAACTAAGCAGGATTTTTATCTAAATATATTTGCATGGCGATATCTGTGCGACATTGGCTTAGAACAATGTAGTCTTTGCTTGTACAGCCTATCACAGGGCATCTGTAAACATATACACATATAAGCATCTTTATACTTATAGTAACAGACAGTACAAAAAAAGCATACCGAGTGTTTTTGTTTTTTTCTAACATAGCGATAAGGCTTGCTCTGTCATATACATGACCACAGACTGTATTTCTTACAGGATCAGTCATTCTTGTTTTTGAAATTGGATCAATTACATTTATGTCACGGTTTGTCAGTTGCAGATCTGTGTCCGCATCATCCTCATTACTTGTGGTTTCAGTTGCTAAATCATTTGTATTAAGTCAGAAAAGTCCTACAAATTTAAAAAATCATAAGCAATCTCAAACTCAACTTAGCAATACCTTTAAGCAAATCTTCAATCTGACGGTCATACTGTATTAGTCTCTTATCTTCTGAAGAATCAATTTGAATATCTGATATGGCTTCTGTATATTCCTGCAATGGCAAATATTGCAAGATTCTTAAATAAAACTTACAAGTTTTGCCAAATAACTGTATTCTTACTTTCACAATTTCTCTTGTGCTTCTTTGTGGCTCCATCTCAGATACATATTCTAATCGCTGCTTGATGTCATTTGCAGCCTTTATCCTTGCAGTTTCAATACAGTTCTCCTTCAAAGCATTTCTTAAATCAGTCAATACTTTGAGTTTTTCTTCTTCATCAACTAAATACATACATATTTATATTATTACTTTCTATTTTTCTTTACAAAAACCATTTAAGAAGGAGAGTAAATATTTAGTTTAAATATCCATGTATGTATAATTTATTAAATTTTCTATGTATAACATTCAATTACTAAATATGAGAGATATAAAAGATAATATAAAACAAACATGCATTGCACATAAAGTGTAGGCAAATTTAAATATGTTTCTAACCTCGTTTTAAGGTCTTACCATAGTATTTTAAAATATTGCCTGCTGTTTTCGCAAAACAATCGTCGAGTTCTTCTATTATTTGCATAAATTGGGCCATCACGTATTATTGTCCACGCTATATGATCCAATAATAATTTAATGAGAAATCACGTCGAATTTTCGTCTGTCAACCACAGTCGAACCTCCCAAAACGTATACAAATCCACTCTCAAAACATATACTTTCCCTTTTATCGCTTTTCCCACCATGATCACAACCAAAACTGCGCTAGCGCGAGATGAATTTATATATCAGGTAAGTCTTTGCGCACGCGTGAGGTAAAGAATGGGTGCGTTCAGACAACTCAACAGTTGCACAACGGTTGAGAGATAATCACTTCTGATTGGATCATACTTTTGGAACCGCAGCAGATTTTGAAGAATAGTCCTATCATAAGTGATGATCTTTCAACCGTTGAGTTGTCTGAACGCACCCAATAAGGGAATAGGGGAAGTATACGTTTTGAGTTGTGTTCCCCACTCGAGTGCATCTGACAATTTATCTTTGTTTCATATCTAGTGAGTGATAAAGTATACCCGAGTAAGGAATCGGAACATAACCTTGGGAGGCTCGTCGGTCCCGACTGTATATGTTTTTATGGGAGGTTCAACTGTATTATCAACATTGGCTGTGTTCCGAAATTCACTGCCAATACTGGAAATCTATAATATACATCACGTAAACTATATATATAAATTTTCAGTACTGGCAGTGAATTTTGGAACACATTCTACATATAAAAAACTGTTTATATGTAGAACCGTTTACGCTGCTTTTGCAAAACTTTTATTTAATAAAGTTTTTCTTGAAGATTCATGATATATATAGATCTATAAGAGTAGCTCTCAAAAAGAAAAACCTGAGGGCGGCCCATTGTAGTTTTTTTTACGACGGTTTAGGGCTGTGTTCAGTTAAGCAAAATGGAACGAACTAATGTAGGAAATGCAGGAAATACAGAAATTGGAACTAAAGAGCCGTCTACAATGGAGAGTCGTAGGCCGTAACAGTAAGAAATTGACCAATCACAGACAAAGTACAGAAGAATAATCGATTGTGATTGGTCAATTTCTTACTGTTACGGCCTACGACTCTCCATTGTAGACGGCTCTTTAGTTCCAATTTCTGTATTTCCTGCATTTCCTGCATTAGTTCGTTCTATCTTGCTTAACTAAACACAGCCTTAGGCCGCTAGTTTCAATGCTACATCCACAAAAGTAGATGTAAAACCCGTCCTATATTAAGCACGAGACTCAAACGCAAGTATCAGGTCTCGTGGAGTTGACTAATCGCATAGTGAAATCAGCCAATTGAGCAACGTGATTGGTCAATTCCACGAGACATAAGACTTCTGTTTGCGCTTAATGTAGAACAGGTTTTATATCTATTTTTGTGGATAACGCAGAAAGAAGCGGCCGAAACCGCTGGCTATGAATATAAAGTTTTATCGCGCTGAGCTACTTAGCATGTGTTAAATCTAGTTCTAATCGCGAACAATTATGTTCAGCGTCAAAAATGTCAAAATTTTCTTTGCGCTCTTGGTAAGCTTTCTATATCAATCTTTTATTCTACGAAAATGTGTTTTCATGTAAAATTAAATATTGTGAAGGTATTGCGAAAAAGAGAAGAAAGTATTGCCCTATATATCTTATAGTCTGATTTAAATGTTTTTATTTAACGATCAATAGTATGATATCATGATGCTCATGTGTCTGATAATTTTGTTCCTCTTCCTGATAGTTTATCTGATTTTATTAGCATTTTGTTGCATAATTGTGTATATATGTACATACACGTCAACTAACATATCGTATTCAGAAGTGGTTTATATGACATTTTGATTCGTGTAATTCTTGAATTATCTGCGTATTGATTTTTCTTTACTTTCCGTATCACAAAGATTCGGTGAAATTGAGTGTGTATGTATTCATCAATAAGTTTTTTTTACTTCAATTTACTTATTTCTCAATTAATAAATAAATAAGTTCTAACTTATGTTTGCCGACATATGTTATATTCGAGAATGTTTTTTCTCGAGTCTACTTGTGGTGAAACAAATCTAATAGTAGCGGTTTCGAAAATTAATTAAAAATTATGGAGCTTTGAAACTTATCTTCGTTGATCTCTTTAATTTTCCCGCCATAACAATGTGATAGATTGCATAAGATTATTATCCTTTGTAGTACATGTAAAAGCTATGACGTGTTTTACATATTATTTTGATCATAATAGTATAGTAGCAAGAAGTAACATAGTCTACAGCTAACTTGTATCTTGTAAATAGGAGGTATTTTTAAATTTTTTAATTAAATAGTAATAGTTTTTCTCTGTAGCTTGTGACATTTTTATTTACGTTTAACTTTTAAATGCATGTGAATGCAACTGTGTTGAGAATTTGACCTATGTTCAACTTTCAAATAAATCTTATACTGGTTATGTTCAGGAGAATGGAATTGTGCAAAAGCTGTGTTTATAATTTTCCAACAGTTGGAAGTTTCTAATTTTTATACCAGTGAAAATCAAATATCATTATCAATAGCAAAACAATTTATAGATGATTATGCAACAATTGTATTCTATTTAGTTTTGCTGAAATATAACCATTGTATGGTGGCATAAACTACTTCTAAAATACTATTTATAACAATAATCATTTTCCTTACACCATGTGATAATAATACAACTTGTGATTAATCTATTTTGCTTATGGACATATCTAGATGTTAAAGGGAGTCTGTTTCTTGGCAACAGCAAATAAATCTTTTTCTTTTAATACAATAAGATACATGAAAAATACTGCTGAAATGTCCAAATTTGACTTACCTAGTCGTTTAAAAGGCAATGAAAAGTCTGTATGGTAAATGACATTTGTATTTAAATAAATGCATATATATATATATATTACTATTATTTTATATTAAATGGATTTTCACATTATTTGTTTGGTTAGGGTAGAGTATATCCAGCTCGCCTTGCAGTACAAACCACTAAATTTAGGTCAGGGATTTCCTGATTACTATGCACCAGAAAATGTAACCAATGCTTTAGCTGCTATTGCCAAAAGTAACAATCCTCTTTTGCAACAGTACACTAGAGGTTTTGTAAGTATATGTTGATTCATATATTATTTATGATATTGATAAAAGTGATAAATTTTATTTATCTTTGTTTTATGCGAGAAATGGAATAATAGGTATATTAACATGCAAAAATATTGCAGGGCCATCCAAGATTAGTGAATGCAATTGCAAAATTATACTCCAAGTTCATCAATCGTGATTTGGATCCAAACAAAGAAGTGTTAGTCACTGTTGGTGCTTACGAAGCATTATATACCACTTTGCAAGGTCATACCAATCCTGGAGATGAGTGGATCATTATTGAACCATTTTTTGATTGCTACACGCCTATGGTACAAACAGCTGGAGGAATTCCTAGATATATAGCATTAAAACCAGTAAGGATTTTCAGTGATACAGATGTTTATGTGTGTACATAAATCGTTTTGTAACAACTTATATTCATCATTTATAACGTACTATGACATTTGCTTAATAGAAATCTACATCCGGTACAGTTACCTCTGGTGATTGGGTGTTTGATAAAAAAGAGATGGAGAATCTTTTCAACGAGAAAACTAAAGGCATCATTGTCAATACACCTCACAATCCGATAGGAAAAGTGTTTACATTAGATGAATTACAGTTTATTGCTGATCTTGCAAAAAAGTGGGATACTCTTGTAGTGTCTGATGAAGTTTATGAGCACATTGTTTACAAACCGTATAAACACATAAGAATCGGTAAGAAATGGACATGTGAAACATTTTATTGTACTGTTAAAATTTTAGAAAAATCACTGTTACTGTAAAATTTTTAAACAATTATCTCTTTTTTGTAGCATCACTGCCCGATATGTATGAACGCACAATCACAATTGGATCGGCAGGAAAGACGTTTAGTGTTACAGGTTGGAAAATAGGTTGGGCTTATGGACCGGCAAATTTATTGTATAATCTTCAAGTGGTGCATCAGAACACTGTGTACACTTGTGTTACGCCAATTCAGGTAACTTAAAATAATCGCGTAACTACTATTTTCAAATGTGTCTGTATACGCTACGTTTTATTTTCAGATAATTAAATACATACATTACAATATATATAAATGTTATTTTAATTTCAGGAAGCAGTAGCTATTGGGTTCGAACTGGAAATGGAACGCTTTGATCAGTCAGATTGTTATTTTAATAGTCTAGCGATGGAGTTACTACCAAAACGAGACTATATGGCGAAATTTCTTCGAGAAGTTGGTATGATACCAACGATACCCGAAGGTGGATACTTTATGCTTGCCAACTGGTCCGCGTTAGAGAATAAAGTTAAGCTGGACGAGGAAACAGATGAAAACAGAGATTACAGATTTACTAAGTGGATGACAAAAAACGTCGGCCTCCAAGGTATTCCTCCTTCGGCATTTTACGGTCCCGAACATAAATATCTGGCGGAAGATTACGTGCGATATTGTTTCATAAAGGTAAATAGCACTGTCGCAAAGAAAATGTCATAATTTTTTTACGACAAATATCGTGATTCTACATGACTATATCAGGTAAATATTGATTGTTACATTTTTGAACAGAAAGACGAAAATTTGAAGGCAGCTGCCGATATTTTGAAGAAATGGGTATCCGAATGAGAGTTTTACTTTTATATTTGTACATATTTGCCAATAATATGTGACTTGTTTTTTTATGTCAATTTAACAAACAATTGTTTATATATTGCGATACTATGGTAAGTTATTTGACGCTATTATGAAGATGTTAGGAACCTAATTTTTACATATACATATATGCATATACTATATATTTCAATAGACATATATTTCCACTATTTTGATAAAAATATTAAAGTAAAAAGTATTGTTGAGAAGGAAGTGTTTTCTTCTTGCTTCTCAGATTCTTGGATCCTTTATTTTTTCCAAATCTAAAGTACAGCAAATTTTCGCTTGACTCGCGTGAGCTAATATCAATAATTTGGTTCAATAAAGTTTTCTCGTTTTGCCATCCTATTATCGTACATTCGCCAGCTTCTTTCCTTTTGTTAAGAATGTTTAAAAACCAATTGAAAAAACACTATTCTGTTTCTTGTTAAGATAAAGTTGTTTTGATATTTGATAGTGAGTCTCTTGACAATAAAAACGTTTTCATTAATGGTAAACATTCAGCTTGCAATGATAAGCACTTGAGCAATGATTTTTAACAAGCTACAAAAAAACCGTCCTTGTAGAAAATTAATAAATTTATCGTTTCTGTACATTTTTATCGTTTGTTGACATTTATGATGAGTGTGTGACGGTTGTCTCTCTTACCGGACATCCCTTTAAATTTTGCGATTTACTTTGTTCGCTTTGTTCATCGATCGTTTTTCGCAGTTGACTTAGAGCAGCCTTATTTCGTAATTGTTCCCGCTCGAATTCTGCAAGTCCTTCTGTTGCGAGCACTGTATATCTCTGTCCGATTCTAGCGTTCAATCTCGGAATAAAACCTATTGTAATATCCAAGCAACTGGACTTTATATACAAACCTGTGATTATTTATCGATATTGACAAGAAGCAATCGATAATCACCCTCGTATCCTGGCAACATAGGATGAACGAAGATAGGATCCGTTCTTTTGAAACGAGCATTCACTGTATCTATATCGCTTTTTCGCGGTAGCTGTGGAAACAGTATCTTTTTAAACAATTAACAAGATTTTTCTTATTATCTTCTTAGTTCTGAATTATCAAGGAAATTTTCATGTGTATATGAAAATTGTTTATTCTCTTTTGATTTTATCTTATCTTGTTAATTATCTGTTTCTTCTTATCGCAGAACGCTACGAATTGCTAACCTGGCAATCGCGAGTTACACGATTCGACAGGATAAAGGTATTCTCATGATTAACCGTACGATCGAGCAACAGTTTATGCGTGGCTTTTGCGTACGTTTCGCCGCATCTAAATCGATATTGCGGACAATAACCAGTGTATCTAAAAAAATAATACGCACACGACTTTTCAAAATTTGCGAGTGTTATAACTGGCATCTTAAATTCTCAAAAGTATATTATTAACTCCAAGTTAAAATCAGTCAATCACTTTTCCAATCTTATTTTTTGATATAAATGACAGAACTGTTATCACTTTTTTGTGGTTATCAGTTTACCCTGGTATAAGATGAGGTTCTTCTGTAATTAATAATTCTATTCCAACAGACATTTTGCAATCTTAAAGTTTTTTTAAATAACTTCTGTCGATTATGAAGCGCAAATAATTTGCGTTTATAATTTTTTAATACAAGAATATCATTATTTTAATTGAGAGAGCTTGTTAATTTTGCGTAACGACGTACCAAACAAATGAAATTGCTTCAGTTGTTACGATTTTTGAAATTTCAATCAATTGTACAAAGACTCGAAGCGCAGCTTGCGAGAGATATTTAACTAGCATGAGAGATGTATAGGGGTAAAGAGAAAGAGAGAGAGAAGACTTGTGATATAGGAGGGAGGAAACGCGTACTCATACGGGAAAAGGTGCACGAGTGTGATTTCACTTTCCAGTTTTCATGAGACCATCGTGATGATAGCATACTAGATTTGATTTTCTGGAACTTTGTTTCTTTGCATAATTAAAACCTTATAAGAATGATAATGGACGCTGAAAATATACAAGTGATTATGTGATTTTCCGCCTTAATGTGTTATTTAGAAAAGAGAATTATGTGGTTCCGTCGAGAGATGAGCTCCATCTTTTACGTCGAGTCCGACTGCGAATCTTTGAGTTTGATTAATAATAAGGTAAACTTTCATTATTTGAGAACTAATAACATTTTTAATATAATTAATAGCTAATTATATAGTATATATAAAATAAAACTAACTTGTGTCGAAGTAAAACTTATTACGTTTTCTTAACATTTCATACAAGCTTAATAAATTTAATCTTTTTTTCTGTTTAATAAAGTTTAATTAATTATAATTATATCGATCAGAAATTGTATACTTACTTTGTTAACTAGCGAATGAAAGAAAGAAATTTAGTTTTAGGAAGTTGCATATAATTTACTAACTCTAGTGTGAGATATAGAATAATAGATACTTTTAGATGGAGGAAAAAAACCATGGATATAATTTGCGGAAAAGTGAAAATTCCACCTACGCTCGGTTGCGAAAGCGGTAACAATAGCGCGTAAAAAAAAAGTGAAACTTACACCAGTAACACTTAACGGCTGGCTACATTTATGAGTTCTCCGAATATTGCGAAAGAATGTATAATATAAAAAAAATAGGAAAACAAACTTACCCGCATTTTATGGTTATCTAATTCTATTTTAACGTCTCACTAGAGATTTGTGCATTCTAATTGCTTATATAATATTACAACATTATAAAATACATAACATAATGTTGCTTACAAAATAAAACAAGTAAATAAAATTGTATAATTAATAGTTATTATTTTGCGAACGACTCACGTGAATGGTTTATTTATTAATCTCGCATTTTCGAGGTCGTAACCTGACTAGATGCATAAACCAGGTGAACAGAATGCAGCCATGCGTGTAACGAAGGAATGATAATTTTATCCTTTTTGCTTTTGCCTTGTGTCGTTTTTGTTTCGCGTCCCCTACGACCGGAAGCAACGTTATCGCGCGCGTTATTCGTTGTCAGTCCCTGATGTGGGTGGACGATATATGTAGTAACAGAGATAAGTATGTATACGGCACGAACGTTACATTGCATCTAAATAATGCGTGTAAACTTCAATTACCAATCTAAATATTTTTTTGTCTCTCTTTCAAGAAACGATCGGATTACTTAGAATATTTTTTTTCTTATTACATCACTTGTAAGTTTTGCTTGCTTATATGAAAGTGCGTCATCTCCCCACGTTTTGACCCTTAAACCTTGGGTCTTGTTTAAAACAAATTTTACGTTCTCACTTAATCATAACTGACTCTCGTCGCAAATTAAATGATGAAGCAAAACTATAGAACGCAAATGTGTCGCGACAACTTGAAATATACTATTTGAGTTAGCTTTGATTAGAGATAGATAAGTTTGCTGACCGTCTACAAGAGTCGCTGATCTCGAATTGTGTGTGTGTGTTTGCTCGTATATCCAAGAAATATAACATTTATATATTATCAATAAAAAGATAGAAAACGGAAATCACGAGCGGAAACGACTGTAACGTCACATACGTGCAAAAAGTTTGTTGGCACACGAGTGTTTCCATGAATATCAATCGTTTTCTAGCTTTATAAAGATTCTCTCTCGGGCACGGATCCACTTTGAATAGGAATACAGACACTTGACGCCAGTTGTTAAGTTCCGCTATTTTCTGCACATTTTCCCCGATTTAAAGTCGCGTTTCTGCAATGGTTGTTTGTTCCAAATCGTAATTCGTTAAAGTTTAATATAATTTATATCCGTTATAGACGTAATAACCGTCACGATATTTAGCGTATTATCTTGATGTACCATTTTTTTACATATAGGTATATATAGTTAAATTTTATTAAACTCTATAACACAATGTAATTATCACTATACATGTCAATGCATTTTTATAATACATTAAAATTGTCTTCGACTGATTAACTAATAAAAAAATACTATATTCGGGATGAAAGATCGGACGAGGAAATTTATGGAGTTTCCAAGTGAAATCTAAAGCGATTTTCACGTGACACAGCACACGATGTGTAACACGTGCGACGAGACATGCGACGGCATGAGTCAGTCGCACGCGTCGCCGAATGAAAATTTGACACCCTTAATTTTATCATCTTTTATTTCGTTTCTGGAATATTAATCGCCCTCGACGAGAAACAATATATATAGGGGATGCGCATGACAATATATATTTCACTTTGAATATTCAGACTCGAACACATTTGTTGGCTGAGGAGCGATATAAAACTCGCTGCGAATGCGAGTCACGTCGGTCACGCGTATATGCGCGTGCAGCCATATGAAGTGAACAAAAGAATCGGAAGACAAAACGGATACAACGTGCCGCGGTGCCGCGATGCACTGTCGAGAGATGACGAAGAGATCGCGACATCGTAATTTTATAAACGCACGTTTTATAATTTATAAATTTATTAGTGGGAAAATTAAAAGCGATTTTTCTGCAGAAAGATTACTGACAGAGCTTGTATTTTTCAGTATTGTTTTGATATAAGGTAATTAATATAATGACCGAACAAGCACATCACTGGTTCATTTAATAAAGAAATAATAATAACACATATTATATATGTAAAGAATTAATATATTTAAAAACATATTTTCAAAAATACTTGAAACATTGAAAAATTGTTTGACACTTATAATTTTATTTTATTTTTTTAATAACTATTATTTAATAAATATTATATATATATATATATATATTTTGTATCGTCACGTGTTCATCTGCAAAGAATCGCGCTTTCCAATAATGACGAAGAGTCAGGGATTAGAGGAATCACACCATAGATTGCGATTAACGGTACCAAAGGCTCTTGCACTATCCGGCTTGACACACCATAAGAAATGAGCGATATTAACATATTTACACCGTATACAAGATGCGCTCCTGCGCGATCTCTGCTTCCTCCTGAACATCGTGACTCACGCGCACGTCCGTGGATCTCTTTTGACAGACTTTATGACGCTAGAAGCACTGTAATCCATAAAGCCACGAAGGATCATAGACACCGCGGGAAAAACAGTTTGCGCCTCGCGTGAGCAAGCAATACGGAATTTTTTACATTGGATTCTCTGAAAAATTGATGACAGGATCATTAAAAGAGAAATAGAAAAAAGAATATATGAAGAGAAGATGAAAACGCCATATGATTAAAACTAATTTTACTCTTTCGTTCTCAAGGAAAATATATGTCAACATGTTTTCTCATGCGTGAACTTATCAAGATTGTTTATAATTCTCCTACGATTCCGGTTGCTTCACTAGTCAAAGAGGGTGAAAACACTTGCATACACTATGGCCACCGAGTTGTTAAAGCGGTCCTATGAAGAGTATGGAGAAGTAAAGGTCAAACAGGGTTGCTCGGTGGAGAGGAAGAGAAAGGACACAAAGAAGAAGGGGAGAGCAAAGGCTTCGGAGGAGGGATACTCGAGACAGCCACCAGCTCCAGTATAGTTCTACTCTTCGTCAGGTGTGTTTCGTGAACCATTTTGTACAGATCGTGAATCACGACAAAGTGATCGCAAAACATATCTTCAAAATCGAGTTCGTACAAACGTTTGAAAAAAAAATTCATCAATTTTTATCGGAGCGAGCGAGAACAAATCGTGCCGAAAATGTAGCTGATATCGGCACGTGATTATACATAATCGTGATCGTATGATCGTGTCGACGATCCTTTCGAGCGTGACGGGTTTCCATCGGCGACATTCGCACGACGGACAGCATGTCAATTTAAAGGTGAGCTGACACTCGATAAATGTTTTTCATCTACTTCAGTCGCTGCTTTTACTTGTCGACTCATCGTACGATTTAAAAGCAGCGAGTAATTGTTACAAAAACTTGTGCATTATTAAATTATTATTAGGAATATTGAGTATCTAATCATGGGTGATCACAGTTATAAAAATGTTGGCAAAGTAGGTGGACTTGGAGCCGTGGTTGACAGGTGACTGGCACACGAAAGCAACAGATCCAAGTCCAATGCGCATCGAAATTTTTGCTTTTGGGCAAAACACGACCACGAAATCGCACACTTGTAATAATAACTTTTATAATAATTTAAATTATAATTTTTTTCGAATCTTAATCGAAACTTTTTACACACAATTTAATTATTTGCATTGTTCAATGTGCGATACAAATATAAGAAAAAGAGTTTTTTCTTGATCCTGTTGCCTTGTTTTAACAAAACAAACCATGTTCAACTAGCTAATTACTCTCGTTTAGCGTTAATTCGTAATAATAAGTCCAAAGAGCGGCTTCTTGTACGTCGCGCTTTTATCGGAACGAAAATATGTAGCTGTTTATGTGTGTAAGCGCTTAACATCATTTGCTTCTTCCTCTTTTTTGATGAATACATATAAAACGTGTTTTATTAATCTAAATGTTTTAAGACACTCCGTCCTCCATCTTTTGTCAATGTTGCGCGCCACAAGAACGACTGTAACATTTAAAATAAAATAGCATTTAAAATCTACTGAATAACTATTACAGGTCGATAACCGCGATATAATGAGCCGAGTACGAATTGTCGTCGTGACTAATGAAGCAG